CACACACACACACACACACACACACACACACACACACACACACACACGTATTTGTATATTTTAACACTGAAGCATGAAATCATGGAGAAACGGCAGCAAATGAACTAACAACAAAGCTTTTAGCTGTAAAGAAATGTAGAAACATTTTTCCGTGACAAAGAGCATGACGGAAAAACACTCCCGGGTCGGATTTTCCTGGTTAGGCAGTGCTTTGCAATCATTAACTACCTAAATAAATATTTAAAAAAAACAGGAAGACCGGAGCACAACTTGGAAAAGGAAACACCTGAAAACATTCCGAGAGAACACAACCTTGTAGTAAAAGCCTCCGTGTGCTTGAAACAAAGTGCATCTTTCTTCTGAAACTCCCCTTTTATGATGGGAATCAGCGAGCGTGTGTGACAATTCTGTAACTTTACAAAATGGACAATGTGACATTGATTCTCATGTTGCCAAAGTCAAACAAAAAACACTCTCAGCCAAGATCCCACTTGGGAACTGGTGTTGCAGCCTACAACCTCCAGTCAGGAGGTTCACCTGCAAACCAAGAGCAGCTTTGTGAGAGAGCTCCACAGAGAAACCACAGCTCCTCCGTCTGTCACCGTGTTCTGATCGAGACCGAGAGAAAGCAGAGCACTTACGGTACTTTCTGTCTGCAGTACATGATTAGGCCGATGGCGGCACCGAGAGCGACGAGGACGGCGATGACGATTCCAGCGATGGCTCCGTCTGAGAGACCTTCATCCAACGCTCCTTCCTCTACGAAACAACAACAACAAGATGTTTAAATCCTGCTGGGAGGGAATGCTTCAAGGTAAATGCACTTAAATCTAAAGCATGCAGTGGGATGTCCTGACATTCAATCAACAGAAACAGAAGTTACATTGTGTGCAAACTGCTGCCATGTTTACAGACGTCATGTCTCAGAAGAGAAACCACAGGAAGGACATTAATATACAACTCCATCTGATTGCAGGTGGCAAGAAGCAACTTCTGCGGAAGTGATCGCTGCACATCCACATGTCACAAGTTATCTGCATAACTTTAAGAGCCACATTCCAACACGAGATAATCCTGAGAACGGAACCGGGAAGCTGCTGCTGCTTGTTTTCAGACCTGACCACGGCATCTGTGCTACACATTCATCTCACTTGTCTAGGAGAGGTTACAGGTAATTACAGGCTCCAATTGACATCACATTTATACCTCTGTTGCATGACAAAGAGATATTAGATAATATAATGCATTGACATACAGTATGTTAGGAGTTATATATGCCAGAATATAGTTACTGGGCCTCCGGCTACAATTAACATGTTGAATTCCTCCAGCATACTGCATGTTAACATGCATTAGCAGAAACCTGACAGCGATGCCCTCCTTAGCTTTAGACGTATTATCTCATGAACTTAAACTTTGGACGAGTGGACGTGTTCCTGAAAGAGAAAGGGGTTGCATCCTGATACGTGAACCCAAAGAGTTCATCCTCTCTGAAGGAGGACATCTTAGGAGCTCACCTTTGACGGACAGGGTGTGGATGTACGTGGTGGTCTTGCCAGTGACGTCGTTGTGCGCCTCGCACATGTACGTTCCAGTGTTTTTGTAGAGAGCCTTCTCGATCAGATACTGGGCCGTTTTGACATCGGTCAAAGTGCCGTTGAACTTCCAGGTGAAGTTTGCGGGAGGGATGGAGGCGGCGGAGCAGTCGAGCTTTACTGACTCTGTCACCTCTACGGCCTTAACACCCATAACCATAGCTGGGTCAGGACCGTCTGGAGGTGAAACAGAGGATGATGTAAAGGATGTAATTCTTCTTGTCACTACTGTATGACAATAAAGAATCACCACATGCAGAGTCGATTCATATTTTTCTGTTTACCTTATAATCTCTACACATGGATCACATATCCGCTTATTGCCGTGAACCATTTTTATGGACCTCTAAATAACTTCTGGAAATAAAAGAGCTATACAAATAAATCAGTGCCGAGACAAACGAATACACGGCAATAAACGGCTCGCAGTGTAAAACCGTAAAACCCTGCGTCACCGTCTGTCAGCAAAGCAAAACACTCACAGTTGACCACCATCTTGTAGGAGGCTTTGACGCTGTTAACGGAGTTGGTGAGCTGGCACGTGTACTCTCCGTTGTCCTCTTTCTCCAGCGTTTTGATCATCAATGACCTCTTGTCGGCGGAGAACACCTGGCGACCGCCAGCAGACAGAATGTTGCCGTCTTTCAGCCAGGTTCTGGTCTCCACGGTGCCGCCCGTCTCCTGGCAGTTGAGGCTGGCCGTGCTGTTGCCGGCGATGAGGGTGGCAGTCGGACCGCTGACTATAGCACTTGAGATGGGCTCTGTGAACATTGATAAGAGAGAGATTTTATATTGTACTTTTTCGTGACTTTTTTTTCATACATCTACTTTCAAAACTTTGGTAAAATGACAAACAACGTTGTACTTTTGGAAGATAATAAACCTGATTAAATGAAATAAAACCAAGTTAAAATGAGTGAGAGAGAAAAAGAAGCAGCTCTAAGTCGAGGACTAAAAGATGCTGTAGTTGAAAAAAGAACGGACAAAGCTGAAGCAACAGAGTCCAAGGTATCCTGACCTTTAGTCCCTACTATTAGTCAAGCCCCAAAAACACTGAATCCTACATTTCCCATAATGCAATTGAATAGTTCTCAGAAGGATCTATTTGTAAAGAGGATTTTCTACAACCTGAAAGCACGAAAGACCATTCAGACATACAGAATAATCCTCTCAGACGTTTGACTGTTTCCTTCTGTTTCAATCTGCCAAACACCTTAAACGTGCTTCATACAAGATTGGGAGCATTTGTATTGCCTCCGCACGGCTCTCAACATGGCGACCGCTAGCGATGCTAACAGCGCAAAACACTGGCAACAGTGCTGAGAGAGCTAACAGTGTTACAGGTGCTACGGAGGGCAGCGTCATCGGCTGTAACCACCGTATGAAACCAGAGCAGAGCGACGGTCGTGAGCTAACCAATAGTGCACGCTCACGTGCACTAAACGTGCACTAAAAAAAGCCATGCACGACTGACCAGGCTATGTCAGCAAAGCAAGGACAAGCTCTGATAGCAGAACACACAGACGGGGAGAGTGCATCTCATTTCCTTTTTCATGCAAACTCCCCCTGCTTCTCTCTCTCAGTTATCATCCAAAGAAAACAAAACCTGAAACTCGTCAGGCCATGATGTAAGCCATCCTCCAACCCAGCAGGTCTCACACACACACACACACACACACACACACACACACACACACACACAC